TAGTATAATGACAGTACTATAAGGAAGTGACCAAAAACAATTCATAGTCAAGTTTTATCAAAGCCACCCAAAGATTTTTTTCGCGTATTTTACCGTTGAAAGAGCCATAATATGAAATAATATTATAGTATCTAATATCTGCGAAGCCGTTAAAAAATTTTGAAACATTCTAAATACAAAAAATGTTAATTTTTTAATTCTCCATCTATTAAAAGAATCATATACACCGCTTTCCGTTAAAAAAAAGAACGAAGAAATGTCATTTTATATTTAAGAAAGTTTGGCGTAGAATTTTGAACATCCTGTATGATATGAGAAAAAGTTACGGGTTGAGAATTATACCAAAAATTAAAACACGACGAGTCTGCTGCTGTACCAGAAAAGAGAGAATTTCTTTCTACAATGTGTAAGAAAGTATATACCTGAAAAGCTAAAAATAATGTATTTCACAGAGGATTGGGCCTGCTGGACTGAATGAATCAGGAAGTTTTAAAGTTTCTCAACATCGTAGCTTATTCAAGATCAAATTACCGTTATCAATAATGGAAATAAAACAGTAGAACCCTGTGAAACTGAGCCATTTTGTAGTAAAAATGCAGATGATCGACCTCTTGATATTGATCTTTATAAAATTGTTATCAAGACAATTTCAATTTTTTTCAAAAGACAGGAGGCAAAAGAGTTTTTTACCCGAGCAAAAATCACCCTTACTTATATATTAATAAATAATATACAGGGTGTTTCAAATCAAATGCGAAAAACTTCAGGGGCTGATTCCTTGTTCAAAATAAAGGGTAGTTTGCTTCATAAACGTCGGGTCAAAAGTCAAGCATTACGGAGATATCGCGGTACAAAGATGGCGGAAAAATACTGTTTTTATTTTTTATCTTGAAAACGAAAAGAGATAGACTAATGAAATTTTATGGAAGCATTACTGTTATGATAACACACTTTCTGGTAATTTTTTCACTTTTTTAAAATGAGTGGAAGGGTTGAAATAAACTACCCTTATCATTCTTGTTAACGAAATTTAAAGAAAAATCTTATCACATGCAACACATGCAAAAAAAATTTTGGATAGTTTAGTTTGTTTAGACACTTTTTTATCTCTTGTGTTTTTTTAGTAAAACTCACCGATTTGAAATTAAAAAATAAAATGTAAAGCATTACATGTCAGGACAAAAAACATTTTTGGATAAAGAATCTAGTAGGCTGCTGTCAGACAGTTTTATTTCGTAATAATATCGTTACATTTTCTTCTGAACGATAACCTCTTAAAAATTATTTACCAAGACAATTTTTAATTCTGTATTTTAATTCATGAAAGTACAAAATAATAAAAAAAGTACATATTAAAAAATAAAACTGTTTTTTGTCCTGGCATGGGGTAATGCTTTACATTTTATTTTTTTATTTCAAATCGGTGAGTTTATCAAAAAAAACACACAAGAGACTAAGCTAAACTAATATCAGAAATAATTGCATGCGTTTGATAAGATTTTTCTTCAGAGACTCGTTAACAAGGTAGTTGTTCAACCCCTCATTTTAAAAAGAAAAATACCTAACACAGTGGCTCTTCGACCAGTCTATCTTTCGTTTTCAGGCAAAAAGAGCAAAACATTATTTTTCTTATCTTTAATACTACAATATCAATTGACATTAACATTATAAGCAAACTACCCTTTATTTTGAACAAGGAATCACCCCCTGAAGTTTTTCGCATTTGTTTTGAAACACCCTGTATATTTTTTCGTTATTGTCATTTTGTTTTTGTGAATTTGGGCCGGTTGCCTATTATTCCCGGGCCGGTTTCCATTTCCCCATCCATCCCTGACAGTTGCATATCAGTACCCTAACTTAAAGGTAAATGGCGCTGCAAGGACCTGCACAAATTAATGCAGCATAAGTTTTAAAAAAGTCAGTAATCTCAAAAATCATTTAACCAATGTGGTTGAACACAAGAGCATTTTTCACCCGTCTAATTCTGATTAAATCGTGCCAGTGTACCTTTTTAATAAATGGTACTGATTGTTATCCGTTCAACTCTGATGTCATGGTGAAATCGCTCGAAATAACGACACGCGACAATAGAGGGCGTTCCGCGCGTCCTTGACGAGCAAAATATTACCATAATACTTTATGGGGGCTCGCTACTACGTACACTCGAGTACCACACTCTGCTTTCACGTCGCACTTTCTTCGTAGGTAGATATTGCTTTCTTCCATATACATATCGTAGTCTCCGTGCATCAAGAGAAAGATCAAGATGGTACCACAGTACTTAGATACAGTAATCGCAAAACATTTTCCGATGCACGTCATCGATAATATCGACATTGACACTAAAGTCTATAACCCTGACTAAATGAAATTTTGGCAAAAATGTTTAAATTAATTTTAAAATTTAAGATACCGAGCAGCTCTTCATTTTACTATACAGGGTTGTTCACCACGTACGACAGGGAGTATTGTAACTAAATGGTTAGATTTTTACAAATTGTAAGTTTTGGGTTCGTTGAAGGACTATTAGAGCTACAATTTAAGAATATTTTTACAAGATACAGAGTGTCCCAAATAAATAAAAAATATCAAAGTTGTATTTTTTTAAATGGGACACCCTGTATATTATTACATTTTTAGTCTCTACGATTAAAATAAAGGTAAATTTGATTAAGGTTTATTACACTTAAACCTTACCGTTCTTGAAATATTTTCAAGCCTTTTAAGGCTTCATTTCTCCAAGGGTATCAAAGTTTTTAATACTAAATATTTACTGAAGTCTATTTGTTGATCAGTTATTGTGTTGCAATAATAAATATAATACTACCTCATACAGAGTGTCTAAAAATTTATTTTAAATTATGTCTAGCTTTAAACGGCAATAATTTGTTTAATTTAAATGGAACGCCCTGTATATTTCAGGAGAATCAGATGCATAATTTAATTGTCTATCAAATTGTATTATACCACTATTTACCTATCCCTTCAAGTTTTCGTAGAAAATGCATTTTCTTATAATTTAGACCTCATTTATCAATATACCCATGGAATATTGACATTTTAGATTGTTTTTAAAGCAACAAATGTACAAAATGTACAGGCTAGTATTACTATCGTTTTTAGCAAAATGATAATATTACTAGCCCATTTGTATACAAAAAGAAAACTATTTAAATCTTTATAAAAGAGTATACCATTAGTTAAATGTACCACCATTATTTCCGCCCAAATACTAATGAATTACATACTTAATTATGTTCGTTAATAAATTATTCTAAATAAATGTGGATTTGAATCAGAAATCAATATAATAATAACTTATGAAAATGAATGTATCTGTTGTTATAAATAAGCATTTGTCGAAAAATGAAATATCATTTTTAAGGTGTTACTTTTTACCACACTGTCTAATACACATACAAAATTCAGTTTTTTAGTATTTGGAGCAATTATTATTAATCAAAGCAAACAGTCAATTAATGTAGTTTGAACACTGGAATCATATTAATTAGTCCTCTTTAACAAATATTTATTCTTTTTTATTTTTTAATGAAATAAACAAACTATATCGACAATATTATCGACAATAGTATCTGTACTCTTTAAAAATGTGGTACATCTTTAAAAATAACCTAAAATGTCAGTATTCCATGGGTATATTGATAAATGAATTTAAAATTACAAGAAAATGCATTTTCTACGGAAACTTGAAGAGATAGGTAAAAAATGGTATAATACAATTTGATAGATAATTAAATTGTGCATCTGATGCCCATAAAATATACAGGGTGTTCCATTTAAATTAAACAAGTTATTGCCGTTTAAAGCTAGTAATTATTTAAAATATAAAATTTTAGACACTCTGTATAAGGTAGTATAATTTTTATTATTGCAACACAATAACTGATCAATAAATAAACTTCAGTAAATATTTAGTATTAAAAACTTTGATACCCTTGGAGAATTGAAGCCTTAAAATTTCACAAAATTGGAAATATTTCAAAAACGGTAAGGTTTAAGTGTAATAAAAACCTTTATCAAATTTACTTTTATTTTAATCGTAGAAACTAAAAATGTAATAATATACAGGGTGTTCCATTTAAAAAAATACAACTTTGATATTTTTTATTTATTTGGGACACTCTGTATCTTGTAAAATATTTTTAAATTGTATCTGTAATCTAATAGTCATTCAACGAACCCAAAACTTACAATTTGTAAAAATCTAATCGTTTAGCTACAATACTCCGTGTCGTATGTGGTGAACAACCCTGTATATGCAGAATGTGGGTAAAAGCGATGGCAACATTGCAAGGCTTCAATGCACCGTTAAAAAACTTTTTAGTGCCACAGGTTCATTCTCCTGAAATTTCTTGATGGTTTATAACGGCGTCAGCGATGGCTATGAAATGAAGATTGCTGTCATTTTATATGGGAAATATACCGATCCCATACGGTATTTTATCAAGAAAAGGCTCAAAAACATAAAATATCATATTTTATCACGAAATAATGACTCAAGACCTTAAATTCCAATCATACATTGTATACAGATTGTTAACAGGACGGTTACTGATTGGGGAACAGAATGGCAACACCGCCTACATTCCAAATGAGCACTAAGCTAAGCTGCCGACTCGTCCCGTCGCGTCGTCTCTCGACGAGCGGGCCGAGGTTGCCATATTTCAACCATAAAGCTCTTGCCGCGAGTAATAAACAAATTAACAACCTGTATAAAACTGTGTATCTATTTATGAACACATACATGTATATTCACAATAATTCAATAAAACGCAATAGTGTTTTAAAAATAGTAATTTATTTATAAATATTTATTTCATTTATAAAAATCTAATATCAACATTCTTTATAAACAAAGCAGGTAAGAAGTATACCCATAGAATTGTATTAAAAAAAAGAATTTAACGGCTATATTATGTGACCAACAATACAAACCCATCACAGTATTACAGTTTTAGTTAAAATAAAATTCAAAGAAAGAAATTTAAAGAAAAATAATATTCAAGTTAATGTATATACGTTATAAAATGCTAGATATCAATAAATTTATATAAAAAGGAATGTTAACAGTAACAACAAACAATGTAACAATTTAAAAACTTAACATTACACGACGTATACCGAGCCTGGTCATTTCAAATCCGTGTTATTCCACATTTTAACGAACAAAACAAAGATGAAAGCAGTACATAGAAACTGTTAATCGACAAAGACACAAAGAAAAGCAGGGTTGCCGGTGCAAAACCCTTGATAGTTGTGAAAAAAAAAGCTTTGAGTCGCGTCCGCCACAAAAACAGCGCCAAATAGTATTTACGTTGTCCTGACAGGCACTTTTCAATCTAAGCCACGTAGATTATAAGGTCTAAGGGTATCTCCATTGTGTAAGGTTAGATGTATGTCTATGCGGTTTATCTCCAGCGATTTTGATGAGCTACATGCCAAGTTTTATTCATTGTTCTATACCAAATTATGATCTAAACTCTACTACCGCTACTAAGCACGTGCGACTGATAAGCTGCCACCCATGGTGTAATATGAGTCCACTGAGGAAATTCGACCAGAAACCCAAGAAAAGCTGCAGTTTTCTGTATTCTGTTCTGATGGACGTAACGGGCTGAGACAGCTATGTCTAATACCGCTCCCTGTTGAGCCGGAGGTTTATTAACGATGACGTCAAACGAAACTGAAGTACCTGAAAAAAATATCGCGGAATCAAAAAAATTTCTAATCGACAGGACTTCGAATCTACTGTTGTGTTGTGAAAATGTATCATGTAATTTCGCGTAAAAACCCGGCATTAAAAGGTTTACAAAAGGGAGGTTAGAGGTTAATTATATCCTTATTATATTTAAACTTATTGGTTTTTAAATCAAAAATCAAAAATAAGAAAAAAAGACTCTTAAAAAAGGTAAAACAAAACTACAGTTCAGTTTAGACAGTTCCAGTATAGACTAGTTTTTAATCCGTCTTGCCTGACAGGTAATACTTTATGTGTAGAAGTGGCTTGATATTAAAACATAAACGAGAAATAAAAGTATAATAGAATATTGTACTTTTTACAAAATATTCTGATTTTTCGGCACCTAAAAATATTGTTTTTGCTTACCATCGTTCTTCCCTCGTTGATACAAGAATATATATACAGGGCGATGTTGAAAGGCGATTTTAGATGGCTTCATTTCCTTTGACAGGGACGTACTCAAAACGTTTATATTCGATCTTGGCGTAAAATAAAAAATTAGCTTATCAGGTCCTGAAATAAAACATAAAAATATTGGCAATTCAAGAGACAAAAATATATCAAGAGAAATAATAAAAACTATTTTGTCCACGACCACTTAATAATAAATCAATATTCTACTTCCTAGCTGAAGGAATATGGTGCCCATATTTGTAATAGAATGAAATATAACAGCTGATAACACTGAATTATGATAAATTACACTTTGCATTTACTTTACATTTGTTGCATTACGTGACACGTTGCATTACGTGACACTCACAAAATCCCGATGTGCGGCGTATCTCTTATCTTTTCTTTTTATTAATTTTGACGTTTAAAATTGTCAAATGTTAAGTAGGTAGTGATTATTAAGTGATTATTAAATTACCAACTTTAGTTACACAAAACAACAAAAAGTCAGATGCTGGTACTCCAATTTATCGTTCTCCAACAACTGTACTCAACTAAAATTGTTAAAAGCACAGATCTGTATATTATAATCTTTGTTTTTTCTTTATTGTTTTTGGTGGTTCCAATTTTCGGAATCGGGCACTAGTTAGGTGACTAGTTTGCGCACATAGCACGCCCACTTATGGCCTCTAAAATTGTGCACAGCGCCTGACCGGCACAGTTATTAGAGAGATATCGGAAAAACCGAATAGCGTCATCCAGTATTTATGCGTACCTTATCATGGTTACGATATGCGCGAGTCAATTTTTAACGCAACACCCGCTAATAACGTTACCGCCTGACGTAATTTGCGGATCAATTACACCAAGCGCTATTTCTAAATAACGTTTAAAAATTGCTTAAATGGGCATGTGCGGGTATTTGACAACCGGAGCCGGCCGGCGAGATCTTTTATTTTAGGTTATGTTTGAATTGTTTTGAATTATTGCTTTAGTTTTATTAGGTAATTTGATATTTAAGTAGCTGGGATTAGTTTTAATTAAATAAATATGGCTCAAAATATGGATTCCACCTCTTCCAATACTAAAGAACCTATAAAGAGTCTTAGGTTTACAGCAGATGACGACTTAGCCCTTCTAAGAGAATTTGTTGCTTGTTGCCCTAAACCCACTGGCATACGTTGAACAATAAAGCACTGGAAATAAGCACTTTAGCTCTTTAGTTTTAAAATACCTACTAAACAAAACAATATCAAAGTTTTAAATTCAAAGTTAGGTTAAGTTTAAATAGCGGACGCGACGCGATCAGAATTCTTTCCGATCCGATAACTATAAATGAAGAGAGTTAATACCACCTCACGTAAAGGAAATAACACCTGGCCTTATTAATGTCCATGCACGCTATTCGGTTTAGCGATATCTCTCTATTACGCTGTTTATTGTTATTTTACGCAAGTTTATTTTTGCGCACAGGAAATTTGACTAGTTTGCACATCGTCATAAAAAACAATTTTCGTACCACGAATTAGGATCAAGATTTTTATCTGTATACTTATAGGATACCTAATCTGTGGTAGAAGTATGTTTTATTGCAGAAAACTTGAAGCAGCATCAATAAATTTCAAATACATATATAACGATAAATAAAGCACAAATTACCAACTTTAGTTACACAAAACAACAAAAAGTCAGCTGCTGGTGGTACAATCTATCATTTTTCAACAAATTTATTTTACTAAAGTTGGTAGAAAAAAGTACTTATATACAGATATGTCGTAAAACACATCTAATAATAAACTTCCCAAATATTTGAAAATAGAATAGTTCGAGATGACTGCGACTCTCAATGCGTAGCAACTGATGATATTGACGTTTTTATTATTTTTTAGTTAATTTTGACGTTTGAAATTGTCAAATTTTAAGTAGGTAGTGACATTTTCCCCTAAAACATGAATACAATAATTAATAGTAAGATTAACATTAAAAATACAAATTCAAACACTCCTCATTATTAGTATAATGGCCGTGGACAAAGTATAGTATTCAACTCGCAATTTATAGCCATTATTCACTCGGGTGGCTAGGGAAATCATGGCTAGCATAAATTGCTCGTTCAATAATATATTATTATTACTAATAATTACATCTATTTTGAGTGATAAGTGTTAATAATGTTTCTATATTTTTAAATGTTATCTTTTAACAAAAAACACAGCTAAATACCTGACACTTCGATGTTAAATTTGACTTTAGTGTAGGAGATTTGTTCTTGTGATGTAACCTTAAAAGTTAGCGTCTCATTTGATGGAAATTCGGGATCACTAGCAGGTATCCATTCGCTGAAATGTCTATAAAAATTGATGCATTATCATTCATAAATAATACATCATACCAGATTTTTTATGAATAGATCTAAATATTTAAAATTCTATTTTCTATGAAATTATTTAATTTAAATAATTTTTTTTTAATGAAATTACCTATTTAATTATATTAAAGAAATGTTCTTTGTACTCACATCTTTTTTGCAATTTTCGCATGAATCAATGGCAAGGCACACAAAGGATACTGGTCACAATCATCGTCCAGCGATTTCGCATTCTCCAACTCTCTCACAGTAGATTTCAAGATGTCTGGAGAATTCCTGTCCATATTCAACAGGAAAAATCCAGATTCCGTCCTGGATAGTTCTCCAGAATCCAGATAGAATTGTCTCTGAGTATGCTGAAGTTTTAATCTTTTATTAGGTATTTCTTTAATTTTATCCGCATATAGAAGATATATAGAAGATCTCTCAGAGAAATAAATAAACATAGATGAAATCGTTTTGAAATATCCGTCGATAGTAACTTAGGGGAGGGTATAAAAGATAATCTAAGTTACTATCGACGGATATTTCAAAACGATTTCATCTATGTTTATTTATTTCTCTGAGAGATCTTCTATAGATATTCTATATTTTTACTTATTTTTCTGATAGTAATATTGTCGTACCATGATCCAGTGGCGTTGAGGTTTGGGAGAACTCTCGTTTCCAGAATAAGGAAAGGCGAATGGAGTGAACAACAAACCCAAACATAGCAAAAACACCGATGCCAAGATGATATAGTAGAACTTTGCTTTTCTCAGGAGATTAGTCAAAACAGTCTTAAAAAATAATCATAAATAGACAATTTTATAAAATACACAGAGTGTCCCAATATTTCGAGGACATAGTTGTAAAATATTTCTGCTAGAATTTAGAAAGTTACATTGTAAAAACTGTTATTTGTGCAGTAGACCGTGACGTAAACTATTCTATTTAATAGGAACATTTTTAAGTGATAATAATTACAGCGGCCCATACATTATCAAACAAATTGCGCAACGAAGCGATGCGCAACGTTGCATTGCACAACTGATTCAGCGGTCCATACACAATCAAACAAGTTGCGCAACAAAGCGATGTGCAACAAAGCGATGCGCAACGTTCCGTTGCACAACTGCCTCACCCATGCACTTAGTAAAATTATGATCAAACTTTTTATTAAAGGTTGTGCATTGTTTGAGAAACAATCATGTCCTCAATTGCCATTGCGTCAATTATTATCGTATATACCCTAGATGATGTCGAGTATACCAAAAAATGAAAAAGAAACAAAGAATTTGGATTAAAGAACTAAAATATTGCACAACGAAACGCAACCCACACATACACTACACAACGCGTTGCGCAAACAGTCCTGTTGGACAAAAGAATTCAAATGTTCTTGAAACTCATCAAACAATTGCGCAACGCATCAAACACTATCACACATTGACAACTCGTTGCGAAACAGTCTGCGTTGCGCAATTTGTTTGATAATGTATGGGCCGCTTAAGGTCCGACCGAGATCCCGAGAAAGAAATGTTAGATGTTAGTGTCTTATTAATGTAAGTTTTATAAATTTAGCAGAATTGTACATTTATATGAATTACTCGTTTATCAGTGACGACTCGTCAGGGTAGGTAAGGTAGGCGGCGCCTACCCTACTATTTTGTCAGAATTTAAGCAGTTTTTTACATTATATTATTTACTATTAATATTGGCAATACACTAAAGTATTGTTAACACACGGTAGTGTGTTGTAATAATCAATATTAATTTAATATTTGTGGTCTTGTATATTAAAATAATCACTACCGCTGGCGTACAAAAACAAAATAATTTTGACCGTTGCAGTATATTGTACACGCCCTTGTTCGGCGATTTCTCTATCGCTTGTTATCAGAGTCGATGCACGACGTACGGCAGTCTTCTGTCCCTGTCTAGCTCATCGTGCGGTAGCGACGAGACGTAAGTCTGAGTTGTATCGTATTAAGGCGGGGCTGAGGCCAAATCTTCGGTCGCCTTTGCTAAGTTTGCATGAAGTCGCGGGGGCTCGGTAGGCTTCGAAGTTAAAGGGATATTTCGTCCCGATATTTCATCTGATTCATTATACGTAGTATTTAAAATTTTTATATGGAAATTCAACAATTTTCAATGTTTTTCACCAACATAAATTAATGAATAAATTGCAGGTATTAATAATAGATATGAAAATTTCGATTATACAATAATTTAAGGAGAATGATCCTGGAAATATATTTCCAGAGACTTTCAAATTGTTTGTTTTGATTGTTACTATACCATTTACAAGTACTTGGATTGAGAAAAATTTTCATGTTTGAAATTCAATAAAATTTACAGTAGAAATTCCATGACAAATAAACGTTTATCGTCACTTGCCTTACTTTCCTTCTAAAAAGATCTTTTCACAACCCTTCAACAATCCAATGATTTTACTGATATATTATATGATAACTTTTCTTTATTAAGAGACCGATTTCCTTTTTTTATTAGTCTCGAAATATGTAATATGCAGATATATGAATAAGAGAATCTGTTTTTCTTTGTAAATTTAATTGTCTATATACTTTTTAAGTTTGCGTAAATAAATAAAATAGAATAAAATCCTATGATGTTCTCCATGGTACTACCACAGATTAGGTATCCTATAAGTATACAGATAAAAATCTTGTCCCTAATTCGTGGTACGAAAATTGTTTTTTATGACGATGTGCAAACGTGTCAAATTTCCTGTGCGCAAAAATAAACTCGCGTAAAATAACAATAAACAGCGTAATAGAGAGATATCGCTAAACCGAATAGCGTGCATGGACGTTAATAAGGCCAGGTGTTATTTCCTTTACGTGAGGTGGTATTAACTCTCTTAAATCATTTATAGTTATCGGATCGGAAAGAATTCTGATCGCGTCGCGTCCGCTATTTAAACTTAACCTAACTTTGGATTTAAAACTTTGAAATTGTTTTGTTTACTAGGTATTTTAAAACTAAAGGGCTAAAGTGCTTATTTCCAGTGCTTTATTGTTCAACGTCTTTCAATGGGTTTAGGACAACAAGCAACAAATTCTCTTAGAAGGGCTAAGTCGTCATCTGCTGTAAACCTACGACTCTTTATAGGTTCTTTAGTATTGGAAGAAGTGGAATCCAAATTTTAGGCCATATTTATTTAATTAAAACTAATCCCAGCTACTTAAATATCAAATTACCTAATAAAACTAAAGCAATAATTCAAAACAATTCAAACATAACCTAAAATAAAAGATCTCGCCGTCCGGCTCCGGTTGTCAAATACCCGCACATGCCCATTTAAGCAATTTTTAAACGTTATCAGAGGTTATTTAGAAAGAGCGCTTGGTGTAATTGATCCGCAAATTACGTCAGGCGATAACGTTATTAGCGGGTGTTGCGTTGACTTGCGCATATCGTAACCATGATAAGGTACGCGTAAATACTGGATGACGCTATTCGGTTTTCCGATATCTCTCTAATAACTGTGCCGGTCAGGCGCTGTGCACAATTTTAGAGGCCATAAGTGGGCGTGCTATGTGCGCAAACTAGTCACCTAACTAGTGCCCGATTCCGAAAATTGGAACCACGAAAAACAATAAAGAAAAAACAAAGATTATAATCTGTATAATCTGTGGTACTACTATCTACCTTTTATTTATCAAAGTATTTAAAAATTAGCATCTGAGGAGATAAAAAAACATATACTTGTACATTATGTCAATCATTATGTCATTACGTTGAATGCTGCTATTTTTATTCGGCCGAGACTAAAAATCCAGGTTCGGTCGGACCTTACCATACAATCCGAAAAAAAAGGGTCAAAGTTAGCTTGGAAATCAACTTGACGCTGTTTTTTCTGATGGCGTTATTACTACAGTCTGTCCAACAAGCCAGAGAATATTTCGACAGACGATATCCAAAAAATGATAGAAAATAAAATTGAAAAAAAAACTTCGAATTAAAATGACAGACACAACTGTCACTGTCATTGATTCGCTCGCTGGACAGACTGTAATTACGATAAATAACATACCAAGTGAGATGCGCCGACTATGACAAAAAACAAAACACTGAAACCTATCAATAGCTCTGGATTGACTTGGGCTCCCATTCTTCCAGTAATCGGTATAAAAAAGCTGTATAATAACACTACCTGCTGTAACAAGTACAGAATTGGCACAAATAAACTTGCCGCATGTACTATCAACCATATTCCAACTAAAATAAACCAGTTTTAAAACAATTTCAAAAATAGTTGACTTAAATCAATTCTTACTTGCATGTTGTAGTCTGAATACGTGTAATAATAAAAAGAATATTGAATTAAACAGGACTGGTATCATAATAACGTAGACTGAACGCACACCACATAGCGTTCCAATAACCAAAATGATTGTCCATATCAACCGCACCAAATGGATTTGAATCTGGCCTCTGACGTTTAAGGAAAAACTCTGAAAGTTTATAAACTAACACTCTATTAGTTTATTAATTATAAATTAAAATTTATAATAATTAAAATATCATAACTAGTTTTTAGGAAAAATAGATACATTGTTTTAGTCACAAAAGTATTAATTTTTGCGACGTGATTGGCAATATAGACTATACCAATAAAAAAAAGGAAAGTGCCTTATTAAAAAATGGTTCGTTTTGGAGCGTATTTAAAATTTACACAATTAATATTAATTAATTATTAATTAATTACAAAATTAATTTTTTACACAATCTTAACAAATCTAATGTAACGCTTTACTATATATAGTCTGTGAAACGAATAACTTTGAATTTGACAGTTCCCGCGGGCTTTTCTAGTGTTAATTTTATTAGGTTAGTAACTTGCGGCCATGCTGACGCAATGCCGTCTCTAATAGAACAGCCTCCGAGCGAGATTTATGACGTCACGCTAGTTAGATACTACGGATTAATAAATATGTATTAATAAATAAATATATATATATTATGTTACTGTGAATGTCCGAAATGCGGTAAAACCTAGAATAAGCGCGCTAAACCTAGGATTTACCAAAAGCATTAACTAATTAGGTTAGACTGGTTATTTGGAGGGTGTTAATGCATTGGTTAGCCTGTTTATTTGGAGGGTCTTAATGCATTGGTTAGCCTGGTTATTTGGGGGGTGTTAATGCATTGGTTAGGTGGTTATTTGGTGGGGTTGGTTGGTTTTTACTACCACTTGCTTTTGGTAAATCCTAGGTTTTACCGTATTTCGGACATTTACAGTAACATATATATTTAGAATATTTTTTATGTAATTTTTTGGATTATATCCGACACTATTTTTTTCGCTGACGCCTTTTTTTCTATGATATTGTAATATATGCAAATATAATTTTTCGAACATTGATACTTTTTTTGTTAAATTAGATCGATTTTCAAACCCCCAAATTTAAAATATATTTTACATTTTACCCATTATCTTATGTACCTATTCATTATTTGTATATCGTAAAACATTTGCTGCATTTGTATGGTTCATAGTTTATTTGCCAAAGTATTTATTACTATAAATAGGTATATATATTGTATTTATTAACTGTATATTATGTATATTTCATGTAAACTATATCATTTTTAAAATACAAACCAAAAATACGAGGAATAATTATGTTTTCCATGTATTCTACAACATATTTATTAATCCGTAGTATCTAACTAGCGTGACGTCATAAATCTCACTCCGAGGCTGTTCTATTAGAGACGGCATTGGTTTGATATTTAGAAATGTCAAAAGCTGATGACATTTTACTTTTGACAATTATGTCATTTCGTGTTGATTTTTGCAAGAAGAGGAAGAACTGTCACTTTTTTATTATTTTCCTTTTCTATTTCACGAAAGTAAAAAGAGTTACCTATCTGATTCGTTCAGGCACTCAATTTAAAGAATATCAGTAACTTTTTTGATAGAGGGATTTTATATTTGCCATGTTGGTAAAAAATAACGGTCAAAATTCGAAGTTATTCATTTTATAGACTATATGTGTTGTGTACAAAATAAAATTTAATATGTAGTAAAATTTATACATACAAAAAATAGAAGTCAAATAATATGAACATACAGGGTGTCCCACTTAAGATGGATACAAGCCAATATCTTGATTGTTTGTTGAGCGATCTTTTTCATTTTTGGCAGGGGACTGTATGGCTATAAGACGTACATTTTGCCCAGGGTAAGAAATGCGATACCTCATAGACGTACGTTTTAATGGGGTTTGATATTTTTCCAGTCAAGTGTAAACTACCCTTAGGACAGTATGTATTTCAAATCTGATAAATTATATTGAATCCTCCTTACCTAAGATACTTAAGTTCTAATTTTGATAAATATTGATTCAGGGTGTGTGATTAAAATAAGACATTTTTATTTTTATTATTATTTTTTTAAGTACTTACCACACCACTGGATAAACAACTGGTTTATTATCAATAACCAATTATAACCAATTATCAATTAATAATCGATTTAAGTTTTCATAATAGTAAACTAAATATTTTCAATTTATTTTGTTTACTTTAAAAAATTGTTTTTTAAGTTTGATAATACAAATCAATAAAATGAATTACAAAATAATTTAAAACCCCAGTTTTCAATGGAATCTGAAATATGATTTTTATTCGTTTTATTGAGGAATATTTTCAAAAATCCAAATAGTTATTTAAAACAATCACTATTAACTTTGAAAAATATGCTCTGAACAAAGATTTATAAAACTATAACGAACTAAAAGTCAACATCTTCGACCAAACCACCATCGATTATTAATTGATAATTGGATATAATTGGTTATTGATAATAAACCAGTTGTTTATCCAGTGGCGTCGTAAGTACTTAAAAAATAATAATAAAAATAAAAATGTCTTATTTTAATGACACACCCTGTATCAATATTCATCAAAATTAGAACTTAAGTATCTTAGGTAAGGAGGATTCAATATAATTCATCAGATTTGAAATAAATACTGTCCTAAGGGTAGTTTACTCTTGACTCGAAAAATATCAAACCCCATTAAAACGTACGTCTATGAAGTATCGCATTTCTTACCCTGGGCAAAATGTACGTCTTATAGCCATACAGCCTCCTGCCAAAAATGAAAAAGATCGCTCAACAAACAACCAAGATATTGGCTTGTATCCATCTTAAGTGGGACACCCTGTTATGTATGTATATGACATAAATCAGGATTGATTGACGTATTCAATTAGTTTCGGTCACTTTTTGTTTCACCGGAAATGACTTCACCTTTTGATTTGAAGCCGTTGAATGGTACCCTCGGTATATTTTTACTTTTGACAGAAAATGACATTTTCTTAATAGAATGGCATATCATATGTCAACTTTTGACATCTTCGCTTAATATTATTCAACTTACTTTATGGCTAGTAAAATACAACAAGCATCCAGACAGTGCAAACGTAGGCACCACATAAAGACCAAAAATAATCCACGGATTGGCATACCATGACATTGTTTTACCCAGAAGATCAAGAACAACAGCTAGAATTAAAACAAATATGGCTGCTATGATCCAACTGGCTAATATTGCGGCTGTTGTTATGCCGATATAACGAAAAGTTTCACCATCTATCTCTAAAATATAAAACTAATAAACTCGGGTAAATAGATTGCATGGAGAGATGTGGCGTGCTCAGAAATTCTCAAGAAATTCTTCAGAAGGCGAAGAAAGAGATACTTCTCCACTCAGGTTTCTGATTCATGAAAAAGGTGATCGAAATTCGAAAAAGCAAATGTGTTTAAGATTTCCCAAAAAAAGATAAATGATAAGTTAAATCATCTCTGCCATGAATGGCGTTGCTATGGGTGTGTTTAGTTGCATTCATTTGTTTCAACGAAACGTCAAAGTTGTTACTTCTCACAGATAAGAGGTAAATGGCTAAATTTTATGTTTAAAATTATAAATTGTTGTTGTTCTTGTGATCTTTTTACGTTTATATTATTGTTTTGATTGAAAATGGCTCAGCAAGCTGCAGGTATGTAGTCTACAAAAACGTATTATTTATTTTGATATTCTCTATACTAACGATTTTTTTTGCAACTGAAAGTTAGGCGTTCAGAAAATTTGATTAAATTTGTGACATTTTTATTATACTTAGACATTTAGTTGCGCATTTCGAAGAATTCAGCATATTGTCTATATACGTTTTACTTAGTAAACATTGGGCTTTCATACAGTAAAATAAAATACTGCACCTTTTTGCGACTTTGCTGATAAAATGAGAAAAACATTCTTGGTTTCCTCTAATTTGCCAATCAGTGATATACTAATGCGAGGTGTAAACCGCGATGGCATTGTTGTGTACAAAGCGATCGCATTAGTGCCATTAGCAGTATAGCACAATTTGGCATTAGTAGCGATTTTAGTAGTATGGGCATTGCTCGCGGATCAGTCGTGGCATTAGTAGTAGTAGTTGCGATATTACTACTGGCACTGACCGTGGAAACACTGGAACAGTGATTTTTCTTTCTTTTTTTAGAATCGACGAATTATCCTTTATTTTGTTCATATTATTTCCTCTTTAATTGAAAATAGCAATAATTTATATAAGGTCTACATAAAAATATTTCGTTCAACTATCAGTGTCAAATACCCCACTGTGGCGACGCGACGTCTACAAACAGTAATGGCAGCCCAAGAGTGGCAATATAAAATATTAGTACAAATATTCTGTTTTTTAAAGTAGAGTTATATGGTAGTACTTAGATTTTTATAAATATTGAGTCCCTACCATTTTCCACACTTACAACAGCCCTTTAATTAAACAAAAAATAATTAAATCGACAAAATGACTATTAAAATTAATATATAATTAATTATAAAAACTTTTGCAACACAAAAAAAAACATTTTGCTGCCAACTTAATGAATAATAGCACAGAATATCTAGCTACGCAACAGAAAAATACTCGAAATGAAAGAGCTAAAATTGCTCAAATAGAATAATAGATGGCGCGACAATATCATAATCAGAATATAATTAGAAATTTTGAACTTTCGGTTTTGGATCGACGCGACGGCTCGTCGACGGCCTTGTAGCTCAGCTAAATATGCACAGTTGCCAGATTCAAAAAGACTTGAATTGACATCCCATTCTTTTTATTGTGTATAATGCCCAGTATGTGTTTCTTTCTATTCTTCTTTTCTTATCAGATACACTTATATTAATTATTCCTTTGGCTATTAAAATAGTTTTAAGTATATTATTACAAAACATATACATTTTTAATATACACTACCTTATAATGTTACCTAAGAAAATACCTTTAATTACCTTTAAAATTAATAATATACTGGGCGATTGATAGTGATATTTATTAATGCTGGAACGTTAGTAATGGTTAATAATTTATTAAAATGCAGTACAAAAAATGTTAACTGACTAAAAAATACTATAATAACAAATTTCTTCCGTTTGCCACGTTATTTATATAGACCTAGGTAGATTTTAAAAGTGACACAGGTACAATTAATAATATATTAGTTCGGCATAAAAGTTGCTGTCACGACATGACGACATCGAACAATAAATTAAAATTCGTAAAATAAATTAAAATTATTAATTAAACAAATCTTTATAAAGAAACGCAAGTATATCAAATTTGGGCCCAATCGAACTCCAGGAAATGATATCATAATAGTGTACTATATTATGGTACCAGTCGATATGCTTTAAGGTACCATAATATTGCAATGTCACCGAAGATCCGTAGTATACCAAATTTAAGAACAATCGAACGCCATGAAATGGTATCGTAATATGGTATAAGGTACCACTTTATATACATCATAGTACAATCATATTACAATGTAACCGAAGATACGTAGTATACCAAGTTTGAGCCCAATCGAACGCCAGGAAATGGTATCGTAATATGGCACTATATTAAGGTACCACTTTATATGCATCATAATACCATCATATTACAATGTCACCGAAAATACGTAGTATCCCAAGTTTAAGCCCAATCGAACGCCATGTACGTAATATAGTACTATATTATGGTACCAGTTGATATGCTTTATGGTACCATAATAATGCAATGTCATCAAAAATACGCAAGTATATATCAAATATGAGCTCAATCGAACGCCAGGAAATGATATTGAAATATGGTACTACATTATGGTACCACTTTATATGCATCATAGTACCATCATATTACAATGTAACCGAATATACGTAGTATACCAAGTTTAAGCCCAATCGAACGCCAGGAAATGGTATCGTAATATGGTACTATATTATGGTACCTCTTATTATGCTCCATGGTACCATAATATTACAATATCACCGAAGATACGTAGTATCCCAAATTTAAGCCCAATCGAACGCCATGTACATAATATGGTACTATATTATAGTACCAGTTGATATGCATCATAGTACCATCATATTACAATGTCACCGAAAATACGTAGTATACCAAGTTTAAGCCCTATTGCCGCCATGTACCTAATATTGCTATGTCATCAAATATGGTACTATAGAAGGTACCACTTTATATACTCCATGGTACCATGATATTACAATGTCACTGAAGGTATAGTATACCAAGTTTAAGCCCAATCGAACGCCATGTATCGTAATATGGTACTATATTATGGTATCACTTGATATGCTTCATGGTACCATATATTGTAATGTCATGAAAAATAGTATATATCAAATACCGTATGATACCGAAAAAAACGGCGTCCAGTTGGCTGGAAAAGGACGATCGATGACATTTCCCATATAAATTTACATATAAAATGACAGCGATATTCATTTCATAGCCATCGCTAACGCCATTTTTTCCCGACTATACGATATGAACTTGGTATGAACACAATCGAACGTCAGGAAGTGGTATCATAATAGTAGAACAATACTTATTATATTGTCTCCGAATTACAATGTAAATTCAGGATTCAATTATACAATCAAACGTCAGGAAGTGATTGTAATTTAGCTCATAAGATTTAATTCCAACTAACATGGCAAACTGAAAAAATCAGCTCTGATCTATTTTAATATGTTTAAATGATGTAGCAAATTTGAAGGTAGGCTTTATCAGGATATGAGGAAGTATTACGATATGAATTACACAATGGCAACACTGCACAAAATTCTTTTAAATTTTGTTTGTAGAAAACTGTTTTCTTTTAAATTTATTGCCCTCTATTATGTAGTAGCGAAACTACCACATCAAAATATCTGATTTGGAGACAGGCTTTAAAAGCCTGTGTCCTTTTGCTACCTACAATTTTATACATGTAACGAGGTTTCTGTTGCGTAGCTAGATATTCTGTGATAATAGGAATTTATTTCTCGAGTTCTTGAGGCTTTTAGTAGTTTTTTTCAAGAAATTTCTCGAGAATTCTTGAGCAGAAACTCTAATCTCCACGCTCATACTTCGTTTTATACTTACTGACTCTAAAAACCAGCAAAGCTAATATAAATACACCCAAAGAAATGGCTGCAGTTACTAAGTTCAATATCAAGGCAGTCCTGGCAGAATATGTGATCATGGAAAGACCAAATATATCAAAATATACCATTTTTCCTAGGCTTCGTTCTTTTTCTATAGAAAAAAACATTTTTTTTTGTAATCAGCTGAAACATTTACTTCTTTTACCTTACCTGTTACTTCCGGTGCGTTTGCTAAACTCTTGACATAAGCAAGGATATTATCGCCAACATGTTGATATGAGCCTGAAGGGATATTATCAAATGAATCATAAGCTGTATGGTATCTATATCCATCTTTTACAAAAGCAAAATCAGCACCTACAAAGAAAAATAACAGGATAATAAAAATACTGATTTGGCCATCAAAAACTCCATGGTCTGGATTTTAACATGTAAAGCCCCATCTCCACATATCATTTTACCTGCCAGTCAAAACGTATGAAGGAAAACATCGTGTGTAGGGGAAAAAACAACGAATGTTTTACTTGAACTGAATTATTCAGTTTTTCATTCGTTTTGAAGAAATATAAGTAAATTTATAAAAAATAATATGGATATATTATAGCATCATTAAGCGACTTTTAAAAGTCTAATATTTTTGCATATTGAGACAACCCGTCTATTTAAAAATAAACATACATTTAACTCTGTATACATAAATCATTACTGACTTTTAACTTCGCAAACTAGGTGAAGGGAAATCAGAAAACGAACAGAGATGATAGGTGTTAAGTAATAGCTTTTAGACTACCGTTCGACACGCACTGATGTTATTTTGTAAGTTCTGATTATTGTGACAAATGTGAATGTTACTAAAGGTAAAGTAAATTTTTCCTCATGATTTAACTAGAGTGTCAACTAAAGCATATACAGGATGTTTCAAAAAGCATGTGCCATCGCTCGTGGGGAGATTCCTCAAATAAAAATAAGTTTTTTTTTCATATCAATATATGTCCGATTCTGCTTTGTTTCATAGATACAGGGTGTTAAAGTCTTATTATTTTTTCGATTTGTTGTAGATTGGAATAATCGTAATAATAACTAATGGTAATAATATTTAATAAAAAATTAGTTAAAATATATAATTTATTAATTTTATTTTTATTTTAATTTTATTACTTAATTGTGATTAATAAAATTGCGTTTATCTCATCAAGGAGGCCGAATTCGACAAAATATCAAAAGAAAACTTTTAATTGGCATTAAAGGGACTACACAATTTTGACATCAAAAGAAAAAAGTCAGTGGCGCACGTTTTTTTTTTTAAATATTCCAGTGATAACCCATATAGTTCAGTCATTGGGGATTTTTGCTTGGAAAAAAGTCCGGAAGTTTTGCAACTTTGCAGGTTTATAGGTTTTGGGGTCCCTAACTAAAATCCATAAAATGCACATTTCCAGACTTGCCGCCGGCGCCGCCATCTTGCTAATATGGCGCCCAAAATCGATATTTTGTGAATATCTCGAAAACTATGCGTTTTTCGCGAAAATTTGTAGAGAGCAAAATTAAAGAGAATAAAATTTCCTATAAAAAAGGTTTTATGAAAATTTTCGCTAAAGTCAACCGTTTAGGCACAAAATCCCTGGAAATTTTACAATTTTGCGTAAAATATGATATATTATGTATAGTCGATTTTCCGAAATCAAATGTCGATTAGGGTTCACTAAAACTAGTTTTAGTTTAGTTTCTTCAATTTTGTCATAAAACAGTGGCGTATCTCGGCACTTTTGCTCTCTTCAAATTTTTGCGAAAAACGCATAGTTTTCGAGATATTTACAAAATACCGATTTTGGGCGCCATCTTGGCAGGATGGCGGCACCGGCGGCAAGTCTGGAAATGTGTATTTTATGGATTTTAGTTAGTGACCCCAAAACCTATAAACCTGCAAAGTTGCAAACCTTCCGGACTTTTTTCCAAACTGCAAAGTTGCAAAGCTTCAGGCCCCTTTTTTGATCCCCAATGACTGAACTAATATGTACGTCCCTGATGAATTTATCGACACTTTTTTAGCATTAACATATGTAACAATTATAGTAACTTTTACCCTAGAAATTTCATTTGAATCACTAAAAGTACTAAAAGAAAATTATATTAAATCTAAAGATTATTAAGACTTTAACACCCTGTAGCTACGAATACTAATCGTGTCCATAGTTTAGTTTATTGCCTATCCAAACTGGCAACACTGCATGCCGCTTTTTATTTTGTGTCTGTCAACCGATCATTTATATTTATCTCTGTCGCATGCATTAAAATACAGACAGAATATTTTTCCTATGAAAGAAACGCCTTACCAACCATATTTCCGAAATCTCTAAACAATCTAAAATCTGTATCCGATGGTATTAGGCCAGATTGAAAAATTTCTTCGCCTACAACATTGCCTGATGGATGGGGCACCTTGCTGTAGTACTTCACTAACCATGGGGCATCTGGACCGGTTTGGAACAGTACTATTTTGCCTCCACTACCACAAGCCTCCAGGTTTATGATGTACTTTGATCTAAAATAGTATTATATTCAATTTGAATTGATTGTCTAAATATATACAGGGTGTCCCATTTTCGTGTATTTTATGGGGTTTCTCGCGAGGGGTAAACCGCAGAGGGAAAAGTGTACACCGTAATTCCTTTTACTCAAATAATTCCTCAGAATTCCTCGTAATTCCTTGGAATTCCTGGTCTTCAAGGTCAAGGTCAATCATTCAAGGTCTTCCTTGGAATTCCTTGGTACGAACTCGGTAACTCTTTCAGTCTGAACCAGCGTTGCCACCTCGGTTTCGCAGTTCCGCTATGAATTTTCTGGTGATTTTTATAAATGTCTAATGTCTCTATAAGTACTAGATCTAACAATAAAAAGTACTCTTACGAGATTTGCGTTTTTTTAGTTAAATTTTAGGACTAATAGGGGATCATGAGGTGAAAATACTGGAAATATGTCGGAACTTACTTATTAAAATTAATTTTTCTCGAGATTTTTTGAAAATGATGGGTACCTAGTTATACTCGTATCTATAGGAAAGGAAATTAATAAAACTTCAGTTGCACATCATAATACGATCACCAGTAAATTCCATAAGATTACGCATGGTATCATTGATGAAGTGCACTCCAAAGTTGTATTAATTTCCCTATAGTATATACCTAGGTATTATTCCGAGGAAATGAAAAAATCAACTTTACACTTTCTGAGTACTGAATAAAAAAATCTTATGAGAGTTTCTTTAAAATGGCGAAATCAGGGAACGTTATAAGTAGATCTCTCGGGGGTGGTTCGGCCGTACTATCGGAAAATATTTTAGATATATAATCGAGGGTACAATATTAAATTAAAAAGATATTCGATATTGGGAAATTTTGGAAGCGAAAAAGAAAAACGGATAGTAAAAAATCGCCTGCAAAACGTTTTTCTTTAAATTTAGTACTACCTATTATAGTATTCATGGTTTACTAATGTTCGTTAATTTTTTATAAAGTTGCTTGTAATTCCTCTTAATTCCTGTGGAATTCCTCTAAATTTCTAAGGAATTCCTTGGAATTCATTGGAATTCTTACGGAAATAATTGGAATTCCTAGTAATTCCTATGGAATTCCTTGGAATTCCTCGTAATTCCTTGGAATTCCTGTAGAATTCCTTCATAGTGTACACCATAATTCCTCTGCGGTTTACCCCTCGGTTTCTCGTTTATGAGTAGAGACACAAAGATGCGGTTTTCTTCAAAAAAAGAAGATAAATGGAAGTCGTTGATATGTTTGCGACAGTTTCCATAGTGATTTACTTGGGTAGCATAAGGGTAGCATCCATGGGTAGCATCTTTAGTTTCATAAAAAAGTAGCACAGTGATGAGTGGTGTGAAAACCGCATCTTTGTATCTACTCATAAAAGAGAAACCCTGTAAAACACATGAAAATGAGACACCCTATAGATATGTAAGTGTGAAAATATTTTTTTTAATTCCTAAAATATATATAATTTTTAATTTTTACAGTCTCTGCACTATAGCAGATTTCAAATGATCTATTTTAAATTTCAACATTTTTTAAGTTCTCCTATGAGCATATCTACTTATGACTAGTTTATTTACAGTTATTGAACACCCTATATGTTTATTTGACTTACTCATTGGCCCATTTGTGGTGAGCAATAAAACCATGAGCTGCCTGTAAAGGGGTTTCCTCAGCTCCGTTAAATAAAAATATCACATTCTGCTCCAATCTTTTGTTGCTTTTCGCCAGTTTTCTTAAAATCTCCAGCATTGATACCACATTTATACCATCGTCACTAGCACCTTAATAATATAAAAATTATTTTGATACAAAATTTATAATATATATCAGAGTTTACAGAAAATTACAATAAATTCTGTAATCTATAGAAATATACAATACCTACCTGGACTAATAGGTACTGAATCAAAATGAGAATTCAGTAAAATTGAATGTGAACTTTCATTATTCTGCCCATGTACCTTCACCACTATATTTTGAACTTTGTCATAAATATTTACAAATCCTGTAGCATCATCCAAATAATAGCTACCTAAAATTAAATAATTATTAATTTAAAATCTCATAATTTTCTTTAAATACCAAACCTGTAGCTTCTTGAATATCATATTCAATAAACTGACTCGAATGTGCTTCAGCTATAATGGTTTGTATATGAACTGACAAAAAATCCACTACAATTTGTTCGTTTTCATAACTGCCTGTTATTTTGGGCCCTAAATCTGTTAAATACTTTAAATCCTGCACTGCTCTGTCGGTTATAAAAGAATCAGGATATTTTGCCTAATCACAAGTACCAAACATATCATAAATATCTTTAACAAGCCTTTATTGTGTTTTTTAAGTTTACTTACCTCATCATTAATTGTCAAAGCGGTCGGTAACCACCCATCTATAAGAAAAACTATCCCAAATAACAAAGAAAGGGATAACAATATTACAAACCCTATCCAAAAAGGCAAACTGTGAATACTATCTTTCGATTTGTCCATGCCATCGAGATTGAATGGGTTTGAATATTTGTACTTATAATTTTTAGCCATTTTATCGGTATTTTTACAGCAGACTAATCGTACTCTTATAATATTATATAATTAAACCTGTCGTACAATGGTTAATAACAATAAAAAATATATTTATTCTTTGATAGCACTGGTATTAACTTGAATAAAAATTTATTACATTAAGTTATTTATCTCGAATTGTGTATAATGCGAATGACACATGTGTGAGGTTTTAAGATAATTCCTTTATCTTTTGAATGCTTCATTTAAATTAATAATTATTCTATTCGCAAAAGATAATAGATTCTTCACATTTTGAAGAAAATAAAAACAAATAAGTTAGGTTATATATTACCCTTGTTTACTTGTTTACTAAATGTCAAATTTTCGGGATTTTAGAATTTAGGTTTTCGACAGAAGTAGGGTATTTTAGTGTATGTGAACTATTGACCGATAGGTGGCTTTAAATAATTTTTTTTAAATAAAACTAATTTATTTGTTGTTTTATTTTAATAATGAACGAGAATTGAAATACATAGTCTATAAATAAAGCCACATAATTAATAATTCGTTCTTTTTGAGTAACATTACAAGTGAAAGGATTTAAACCAATCACAGACCGCATCCGGACTATTTGTTTTGTCTGGCACGGCGTTAGGAGGGGGAAAAATCTGACGGAAAGAAAACAGCCGTCAAAGTAACATGGATGTCGCGTTTTTGCCATTCAGCGCTTTTTTCTTAGGAAATATCTAGTTTTCGGGCAGACGTTGCGGTTTTGGTGAATGAACGAAAGTGTCGCGGACATTTTCCCGTGCAGTGACGTGCAATTCCCTCTCGGATATCGCCACAATTTCGAAACGCATCCTCTCGGAAAGGGACTCGTCTAAAAAATCGCCTTTTTTCCATACAAAATGAACGATGTAACTGTGCTAGTTTGTGGAGCGGTGATTTTTACGTAATTTCACCCTAGATCGCCACGGATTTTGTTAAAACGATGACGACCCGCCTGAACGTGAGCGTTTCGAAGGAAAACATGGAGACTTCCATTGATAAGGAGTCGGGAGCACTTGGAGGGCTATTCCAGCAAATCATCAATGACATGAAGGTGAGTGAGTCCTTTGGGGTGAAAGGATCAGATATTTATCTGTTTCTTTGCCTTTCGCGATTCTCCTTTCATAAAATATAAATTATTTGAGATTGCAATGAAAAAAAAACGAGGACGTCAACCTCTTGTTGATTTTTTTGTCACATACATAAGTAATTGTATAAAGTAAACCACATAATAAATGATTTAATTCAACTCCTTTATTTGCCATTTAAATACCAACCAGGAAATACATACCTACCTACATAGCTATCTGGTTTCATTCCATTAATTTTTTGAAGTAGGTTGCAAATATTGTTTTCATTTTGAAGAATTAATTGTCATCATTTAATTGTAACCACTTGAACATATTTGTTTTATTATTAATTTTTTGTTATACATAGAGGTCATGGCGAATTAAGTATGCCATGAAGCAATAAATTCTGTTTTACCTACTCAATTCTATGAACTAACTTTGACAAATAACTTAATTTTTCCTGTTATTTTCAATGAAATAATAGGTAATTGGCAATTGCGAAAGTGCATCCTGACAATATTTTCATCTCAGTAAGCTGCGGCGCATGTTTTATTTTCACACTTGTCTTAAATGTGATTTACATTTTACCTTCTGTTTTAAGTTTGTAAAAAACAGCGTCACTTAACGAGAATTGTTTTAATCGTTTTAATTATTAGGACATATTTTTTATTGGTAAATATTTTATCAAGAATGTTCCAAGTTATATTAAGACATTTATTTTTAATGTGTATTGATAAATATATCTACCTACTATCAATTTAAGTGTTTATCACAGCGTGATAACTTATTTACACCTTATTGTGTTAATGGTTTGTGTCGCAACAATTATGTTTGGGTGTTGATTCTATAATTAGATGCTAGTCGATTTAAAAGGCAAATGAAGTAACCTGATTGACAATGTAATAAGATTACATAAGTTTTGTCTTTTAAATTATTTTCAGTGCAAGATCTAGTATTTTATGACGAAAATTATTATATAATTATCAATATTATAGTTGGGGATTGTAACCTTTGGTGTTATAACAGTAAAATAAAACACTAATTTGCCACAATGCTCAGTGCTTTAACATTTGACTAATATCAAGAAAAGGTCCAGGAAGAGTGAAGAATAGTTTTTAGAATTAGGACAATTTTGTATCAAAACGTCCTAATCCTATTTATCTATCGATAAGATTAGATTTTCTTAGAATATTTAATAGTGTTTTTTTACTTGAAATTCATTCATTTTTTGTTGCATTTTGTTTGGTTGTAAGTTGTAACTAGTGATGTTGGTAGCGAATATTTCCATTCGAATTTTGCAGGAAATTTCAGAAATTTCCGAAATATTCGGTCCCAAAATCGCGAATATTCGCAAAAATCCGAATTTTGCCAGAAATTTCTTTTCAAAATTCAAGACATTGAGCAAAAATTTAACGAAAGTGTATCAAGTATGCCGATTCTTAAGTCAGAAGAAAAAGAATGCTTCTCCGCCTTACAAAATAAAAAACCTATGGCTCTTGAACCGAAGCATTTTGCCGCGAATCTCTTGAACTCCTGTTTCCTGGGAGAGCACCTTAACAATGAAGAACACATAGGCTATGTGACATAGCCGCTATGAAATTTATCAACAATATCACCAACAATCATCCTCAGTTTGTCAATAATAAGCCATTTTTACAGATGTAACAAATTATTGCGCCAAATCTGGTTTATGGGCTCTCGACTACATTTGGATGTCAGTTAAAAATGTAGACTGTCTAAGTTGGTGGCAAGCAATGTGTACAAACACTCAGTTGAAATCGAGGTTGAAATATTTAGCTGTTGCTCTGCTGTCTTTACCAACGTCATCGGCAGCCACAGAGAGAAGTTTCAGTAATAGTTTAGGAATAGAATAATTCAGTTATTTGTGTTTTACGTTTTTTAAATCTATATTTCGTGCTTTTTTGTTTTTTTTTTTAAATTCATGAGTCATAGTTCGTGGTTTATACTTTTAAAATACAAATGTTAATAAAAAATGATTTTGTTACAGGTTATGTTTATGACTTTTATGGGTTCCACTTGTTTATCAAAAAATACAAAACAACGTGATATTATGTTTATTGCATTTTCTTTCAAACGCATGTTGGTATCAAATGTCTGACACTAATTTATTCCTTTATTGTATCGACAAAAATTTGTAAAATTGTAAAAATTCCTAATAAATCATAATTTCGAAAGTTTCAGAAATTCCCTGCAACAATCAAAAATTTCTCGAAATCGTAACATCACTAGTTGTAAATTGACAATACGATCTATCATTTTTTAATTGATATCAATGGGAATATACTGGTTAAAAGTTGAGACACGACACATGACGGATTTATATTTAAACTCATCCATAGATAACTTAAAAATTATTAGAAACTTTTTAGTAAAATAAATAGATTGGTATGGGGACGTCCTGGGGCAAAGTTGCCGCTTTGGGATGTTCATCAAGATGCGATCAAAAAAGTTTTAAAAATTTTTAGGATTGCTGAGTTTTTTGAAAATTAATTACATTTTTTCCTGTCGTTACTTTTAAGAAAATCAAAAAACTAATTGCACTATCTCATAGCCACTTTATTAGGGCTATCTTATAGTATTTTTAGATTTTCAAATTAGCTGATAATTTGTGAGATACAGAGGCCAACTTAATTTTTTTAAATACGGACCTGCATTTTTTATTTCAGGTTTTCAAAGAACTCGGTCTTCTGAGTACAATGATGTGACACACTTAATTTTTTTTTTGTTTCGGGCATTTGAACACAATTTATTTGAACTAATTTCAACTCCGGCTCTGTTTTTTTTTAAATACTTAATCTATTCGTCCTGGACAATTTATAAGCTTTGGAACATTTAATAAGCGCTTGGAACAGTTAGGGACTTTGAACTGTGAAAGATCAAATGAACAAAAGTAATAAAAAAAATAACAGTTATAGGGCTTGGATACAGTTATCAAGAAAAGGTACACGAAGGGTGAAAACTACCCCCACCCCTACATAAATTTTAGTACACTTTATTATGCTCTAATAATCTAGTTGCCAAAAATATGGAATTTTATGTTAGTATTACAAATTATATTTGACAATATGCTTCATAAAAAGCTTTAAAAAAATAATAAATCTTAAATTAATTTATATTATGATTCCAAAAACAATTAGTATAATTAATGATACGAATATAATTAAATTAAATAATTTAAAAAAAACAGAATCGGACTTGAAATTATTTTAAATAACAATTAAATAGTTTTGTTATTGTTAAGGTACCCAAAACAAAAAAAAGTATCAAGTGCGACATATCATTGTACTCAGGAGACCGAGTTCTTTCAAAACCTGAAATAAAAAATGCAGGTCCGTATTTAAATAAATTAAGTCGGCCTCTGTATCTCACAAATTATTAGCTAATTTGAAAATGTAAAAATAGTCTCAGATAGCCCTAATAAAGTGGCTATGAGAATGTGCAATTAGTTTTTTGATTTTCTTAAAAGTAACGACAGGAAAAAATAAAATTAATTTTGAAAAAAATCCGTTTTTTCCAAAAAACTCAGCAATCCTTGAAATTTTTAAAACTTTTTTGATGGCATCTTGGTGAACATCCCAAAGCGCAACTTTGCCCCGATTTAACCATGTAACCATACCAATGCTCGTACCTCGAATTTGTAGCACCCTGTATACATATTGATTATTGATCGAAACGTTGTCAATATGATAGATAATTTAGAACTTCTCAAAGATATTTATTTGACCCACAACCAAACACAGAGCAGCAAAAAGTATTTTTGGGGGATCACAGCCTTATTCATTGGGCCTATTCTCCTGTCGCGCCGTTCTCTTCAGTGTTGCCGGATGAAAATATGTAATATCCGTATTTCCTTGGTCGAAATATTCGTAGATGAATAAAAAATCCGTATTTGTACAGGGTAAGTCTTAAATAAGGATAAATATTTTTAGGGCATGTTATGATTTTTTTTCGTAAAAAAAGGTGATAAAAATCGTACATTTTTGTAATTTTGGTGCAAATGAAGAAAAAATGTTTTTCAAATTTTCAAATTAGAATAACTCGGTTATTTTGGACTTATTTGAAAAACGGCAAAGAGAAAATATGTTATCAAGATCTACTATCGATACTCCTGAAAATATTTGTACTTATTTAAGACTCACCCTGTATTTTATTGAACCTGTTAAACATAAAATAAATATCAAAAATAAATATTTTAAAAATAACACAACATTAGTACTCTTCAATATCTTACAAAAATTGTCACAAAATCTTTAAAAAATTCTAAATTTATACAAAGACCAGTAAAAAATCATAGAAAATAATAAATCAGTCCAGATCACTTTAAAGCGGCTATCTAAAGATGATGGATTTATTTTGGTACGAAATTATTCAAAATCCACTTGAAAACAGTCTGTTTCTGGTTTGTGGCACTCCCCTGTAATAGACGCTCGTTGTTGGTAAACAGAAAATGTGAACGTCCTGGTTTAACACACTTTTGAGCGAATTGCAACCAACGGATGTGGAGGGCTTTAATTTGTCGCTCAGAGTGGTAAATACGCAAATTTCGAAGAGAACAATCCTCAGATCCAGGGTTGGGTAGGTAGAATATTTTACATCTTCTACCGTATTTTCTACACGTAGAATATTAATTTTCTACACCAACTAATTGTCTACATTTTCTACACGCCCATATTATGTAGAAAACTAGTTATGTATATTGAAAAGTCATTTTTAGCCGACCATACCACAGATTAGGTATCCTATAAGTATACAGATAAAAATCTTGTCCCTAATTCGTGGTACGAAAATTGTCTTTTATGACGATGTGCAAACGAGTCAAATTTCCTGTGCGCAAAAATAAACTCGCGTAAAATAACAATAAACAGAGTAATAGAGAGATATCGCTAAACCGAATAGCGTGTATGGTTAATAAGGCCAGGTGTTATTTCCTTTACGTAAGGTGGTATTAACTCTCTTCATTTAG